TATTCTCTTCCCGATCGAGTCATCTCACCTTCTCCCATGCTCGCCAGCACTCCACACCCTGATCAAATTCCCGAATCGCCTCAGGGATTACCACCTGCTTTGGAAACATCTATACTCGGTGATACTACAAACGTACGTCCCTTGAGTTAGTTTACTATAGTTCTTTGTATGACGGTGTCGCGAAATTAGTGCTACTTCAGTTCGAACGGATATCGTTCAACTCCTAAATTGCTCTTGAACACTCTGATTTGCATAAAAACATTTGAACGCTTCATACTTTTAACTGTTTTTGCGGATAGTTGAGTGACAGAATGAGGAATATTGACTTGGAAGGCTTCCGATGAAACGAACTCATTACTACTATGTCTGCTGGATTATTCAAACATTTAGATGTTGCAAAGGACCGATGATTCTCCACAAGGCACGGAAGAAAATTACAATGGTGAGTTTACAGCATTTATCCGACCATAACCTCAATGATGGCTAAAGACCTGTTCATTGATTTTTGATTTAAAAGCTCTCTAATTTCACCGCATCTATTTTTTGCCGTACTTTTACTCAATTTTTGAATTGAAAACTTCACTTTTGTTAGTAGATCACATCAGTGTCTGGTAGCCAGAGTCTTCTGAAACTAGGTGCGACATTGCAGCTACCATCATCTTAACTTCATATTCATAATAGTTGTATTTATTTATTTTTTGGCAACCTAATGGTCATCAGTTTAGATGATCGTTCCGCCGGAATAAGAAGAAGTATGGAAGCGGTCCGAGAACCTGCCGTGAGTTTACAGTTTCACTGAGCTTCCTGCACCTGAAAGTTGAAAGCTACTTTCAGAAAGATCCAAGAGGTAGGCCTATGCCGCATATTGGTAGGCGTCCAGATGTGATTGAATCTAGCAGTGTTCAGCCTCAGGTTTGCATGGAGAAATTATCGCTATGACTTACATTCAAAACAAATCTCAACAGATGACGTTATTTAGCAAACTGAGCAGACTCCCTATGTTCCGAGTGGAATCTCTCGAGGACTTAGAAACAATGGTACGAGATATAACGACGTAGAGAGAAAGTTAATAGGACAGCTTCGAGATGTGATTGCTCATCTTGATCTTGCTGACATCAAGCAGCAAATGAGAGCTAAGGAGGTCTATTTTGTCCTTCTTTTCTCGTAAATCTAGTAAGCTGGGTACACATTGAATTTAGCTTGAGGATGCATATCTACGATTCCAACAGGATGTGCGGGAATTTGAAGCAGAAAAAGAAGCTGAAAAGGAGAGAGTTCAACGCATCCGACGGCAGTTGGAACGAGAGAGAAAAATCGCCTCTAAAGACGGTGCTGAAAAGGAAAAGGCGATTGCTGAGCAGGTCTGTCTTCACGAGTCCAGGACCGCTTAGCTGGGACTTTCGATAATTTTGTCCTCAATTGTAGGTCGAAGACTTGACAAAAACCATTGCTCAAAAGGATCGCCAGCTTTCTACCTTACGTGTGCGCTTAAGAAAAGCAGAGGAGCAAGTAGAAGCGAAAGATAAAGAGCTGGAAGAAAGCAATCAGAAGATGGTACGCTTGGAGAAAACTTGCAAGATTCTTCAGGTTAGCTGTTTTGCTCAAATCACAGTTTGCTTTTAGCTTCCTTTTTGCCCATTTTAGCGCCAAATGGCACAATTACGCGGCAATTATGCAAAACAATCGCAAGAGCTGGCTGCCGAAATACAGGCTTCCCGTACTCGGAACGTGCGACGGACAGGATCCATCGGGCTGTTACCATCGTTGAGAAGAGATGCGCGAAAGGTGTGGACTAGTTTTTTTATTGATTTTGAAATGATTCACGAAAATTATCAAATCTATATCGGCGTTTTATCGCTTCAACGTGATCTAACAGGAAGTAGTCACCACCGAAGATGCTGAGACTGACACTGGACATCAAAGAGCTTTGCCTGATCGCTCAAAATCTGTCAGCTGGGCTGACAAACCAGTTGAAGATTTTGCCCGATCAAGAGCTGCTACTAGGAGAGGTGCTCATGAAATGGTGAATAGTTACTTTGAATATAATCAAGAGATAAATATTAGGATTTGGCGTTTAGGAGCTTTTGGAGGAAGGTACAGCTTTGTTTGGTCCCTGCCGCTTATTCAAAAATGGCTTAGGTAAAATTTAATATAGAATTTTTTTCAAATTCGCGAATTTTTATGCCTTTTATGAATTAGTGAACTAAGTCGGATTTTCTACAGCTAAATTTTCAGGAGATTGGACAAAGGTGACAACTACTGAATGCGGTTGTGACCTCTATGAATACAGTAATACAGATGTACGATGGATCAGTTGTGATCGCAGCATTGAGGTAAGAATTCTCTTATATCTTGATCTTTCAATAAAGCAAACATCATAAAGCACTTATAGATTTATTACTATGGTATCGCTGGAGTAACTATCATATCTCTGGCAAATGGTCGAAATATTCGTTATTTCAACGATGGACAGGTTGGACAGTTGTGGTCTTGCGTACTTTCGCGATAACTTTTGTTCATCAGATTGAAATCTATCGCTTATCTGGAGAAATCTCTCGGTTTGATG